CCGAGACTAAATCTTAGGAGAGTGATTTATCTCTGTCCATCCCGTGCTGGCTTACACACAGGTAGGACTCAATGTCTTGGTGTCTTTGTAGGTGAGCATGAGTTGTGACACCACAATTCACAGCAACATCAGAGAAATTTTTTTCTAGCAAAGGGCCAACACTTTTAAACATATTTAGCAAGCCAAGTCCATGTGTTAATAAACATATCAGTGTTGTTCTATATTAAGGTGAATAAATAATGTGAAAAAATAGCATGACAATAGGCTATATGAAACAGTGAGTCACATATAGCCCTTAGGATATAGGCTCCCACCCCTGAGCTACAGAAACTAGCCTCGGTTAGGGGAAAATAAAATCTAAATAAAGTCTAATAATGATTTGTGCGGCTCAAACTGGATATCTAACTCATCTCTGAATTTACATTTTCAGCTTGCATACTGGGGAAAGGTGAATTTCTAGGTAAGCTCTGGCTCTTAGACATCTACAAAGATTTGAAAGCAAGTGCTTTTATCTTGCTTTCTGAGCAAGAAATGAAAAGGAAAAAAAAAAAAAAAAGAAGAGGAGAAGGTTTTGCTGTTAGGTGTCTTCCAATTTCAAACATGAGAAGTCTTCAGAAAACTGCAGCTTTGTAGCATCAGACAGACTCTGATTAATGGAGCACACAGGTGAGAAAGGCAAGAATAAATGTTATTTACCCTTAGCTTGGGAACGTATAAGCAGCTCCTGCGAATACAGATGGATGTATTCCAGGTTGATACATCACTTCTTTTTTTTACAGTTGCAGAAAAGTTGTTTTAGCAGCTGGATTACTATGGGAAAAGGGGAAAAAGAAGTGATGAGTCCCGCTCCCTGGGGCTTCCTGTACCCTAGAATATGGGTGCAGACAGTGCATCCCTAAGGGATAGCCCATCCTGTAGCCCAAGTGAGCCACACAGATGCCTACAGCACGGGGCTCCTGTTCCCATGGCACAAGAGACGTGCTCCTGAGAAGTGCACATCACAACTTCTCAGTGGTAATGCTGGTGCCAGAATTCTGTGTCTGAAGCCACCGCAGCACAGAGACAACTCATAGAATGGAAAGGCGGTAACTGGTCTGAGCACAGCCCTCGCCTCGCAAAGCACGCGTTAAACTTACAGGTACTTTCACATCTGACAAAAATTAAGAGCGCTCATTTTAAAAATAAGTTGTGTTTTTATGTTTCTAAGTCATCTAGAAGACAGCACTGTCAAATGGAGAGTTTCTTTCTGAATACTCACTGCCTGCGTTAATGGCTACTTCACACACATCCAATAACACTGACCTCTTTGTGGTCTGTCCCCTTTCATGCTACATGTCCTAGTGGACCTTCTCAGAAGAAAATGGGCTACCTGAAGAGGGAAATGTCCTTCTTTACCATTGTTGGCTGTACTTCTCCCTTCTCTGCAAACCCTCCTCATCATTTGCCTCCCTAAGGGATCAGACTGAGTGGCAACATGCTCCATGAAACCCATTTGCTCAGGCATGTGCAAGGAGTGAGCTTTGCCATGAGGTCAGAGATTTGGCTTGTACTTCTGAAGAGTCAAGATATTAATATGTATCATTGCATCTAAAACCTGAAGTAGGTAGGGCTCCCTCACTTCACAGGCAAGAGTGACCAACACCACTGATAAAGCGACTTTGTGGAAGCTACATGAGTCAGCAGAACTTCAACTGGTAATAAAAAGTTTATCATCATTTGGATCACCCTGCATCTTCACAAGGAATCAGAATCACAGAATGATATGGGGTTGGAAGGGACCTCTGGAGATTATCTAGTCCAAGCCCCCCTGCCAAAGCAGGTCCACCCAGAGCAGGTTGCACAGGAACGTGTCCGGGCAGGTTTTGAATGTCTCCAGAGAAGGAGACTCCACCACCTCTCTGGGCAGCCTGTTCCAGGGCTCCGCCACCCTCAAAGGAAAGAAGTTCCTCCTCATCCGACCAACAATTCAGACAGGCACCAAAGACTTCTACCACCCGTAAAAACACCTGTATGCATACACACACACATACAAAATGTTCCCCAATATTACTGTTTCTTCTGTAAGACATTATCTGGAATGACTATACTGACATGACACAACGACATGATCTTGTCAAGATCCTACATAGCAGAAATCATCTTTGAGTCCACCTTTTAAGTGTAGACATTATTCTTTATCATGACCAACAGCATCTGTGAATATAACAAGAGCTATTTTGGATCATTTTAAAGTACAATGTTGAAAACCTCAAGGTTTATGCCCTGCAGTAAAGCACCTCATTAATGCACAGTTTAAATGGAAATATCCATCTGGCAGGTGAGGTCAGCAAGAACACAAGGTTCCCTTTAGCAAAACAAAGAGCAGATTTAATACACAAATCTTGCTATAAATCTTACGGGAACTGCAAAGCTTTATTTCCTATCCTCAGGCATTTAATGAGGATCAAAGATCTCAGATCCCAAGCCTGAGCCCATGAAGGAACTAACCTCAGAACATCCTGCTTCCCTCAGCGTTGAGCAACCTAAAGGACGATTCCAGTATCTTATGTCCAACTAGGAAAACATTAAAGGAAGAAAAAAAAAACAGTGTTTCAGGAAGTTACGAATTTTGAGACCAAGGAACTCCCTATCTCCTGGTATAATCTGGTGTTTTTACCTGGAGTTCCAGCCACGCAGAGAGTTGAGGTAAATAAACATCTCCCTTTTCTTTGCACACCTGATGTTCCAAAGAAACTACCTTGGAAACTGAATACACAGAACTTCTCACAGGCTCTTGGCAGAATTCCTTTCTTATGTGCTCCCAAGAAGAAATGCCCAATTTTAAGAGCTTTTCCCAGTTGTCAGAAAGCCACAGAGGTTACAGAATGTAACAGTTTTAAACTGAAAGAGGGGAGATTTAAATTAGATATTAGGAAGAAATTCTTTACTCTGAGGGTGGTGAGACACTGGCCCGGGTTGCCCAGAGAAGCTGTGGCTGCCCCAACCCTGGAGGGGTTCAAGGCCAGGCTGGATGGGGCTTGGAGCAACCTGGTCTGGTGGGAGGTGTCCCTGTCCATGGCAGGGGGGTTGGAACTGGATGATCTTTAAGGTCCCTTCCAACCCAAACCATTGTATGATTCTGTATTTTTCCCCACACGTGGTGACAAGTCCAAAGGAGTAAATCTGGCAACACAACAGAGCACACACAGCACTAACTCGCTGCTGCTACAGTTCATATACATCAAGAGAACCCAACAACTCCAAGTAGCACTCAATTTATGTAAGAAAGGTGTTAACAACTATCCTGGATTAATTTTTTCTTGTTTTACCATCATTTATGCCAAAAAGCCTACTGTGCATGCTACACCATCCCCCAGCCTCATGGGCAAATGGCCAGGGAAATTAAGGAAGTCTCTGGGCATTTCTTTTACGCTTTTGATACAAATTTTGAGACAGACTTTTTTTCCTTTTTTTTTTTTTTTTTTTAAATGAAGAGTTGCATCACACCACACCACAGCTTTTATTCTTTACCTCGTTAGGCATTTCTCAATGTAGCTCAGCACGACGTTTTAATAGAAAACTTACTGTAAATGACCGAGAGAGCAATGAGGAGATCATGGATCACTTGGACAATAGGAGTTCTCCAGAACAAAGGTTGGCGATTTCATTCATTATCACTTCCAGCACTGACTACATGTATCGCGGGGAAAAAGTTGACCTGGTTAAGGACTTTTCCATTTCTAACCATCATCTCTCAGGGAACGCGCTAAGGAAACAATCGTCCTACTGAATCATTTCAAGAATTTTACAGCCAAGAAGATTTATTACCATAAAACAGGTCTTGGAAACAAGAATATTTGAGGAGATTCAATAGCTATTAAATCAGTGTGGAAAACATGATGCTGAAGGAATTGCATATGCCTGACACATGTTCTACCACTTTTTTTTTTTTTAATAGAAAGTGTCTATAAAAAGCAAGTCTGTAGAATTACTTAAACTTTTCAGACAAAGAAGAGACGCAGGTATAGATTAAAATGACTTTCATGTAAGTAATAGAAAAATTCTAAATAAGGCACCACACAAAAGCTGCTTGATAAACTGGAGCCATCAATAATTTCAAAACTTACGCGTTAAAACCATACTCATCCCTTAATAAGTAAGCCGAGATGCGTACTGCAGATTTACAGATATTTTTAAAGTTGAGTCAACAACATATAGAAAATCTCATGCAATCTTTTAACGAGTCCACTTGAACAGCCGGTGTGAAACTACATTCAGAATAATCTTAGGTTTTGTTATTACAATTGCAATATAAATCTTGTTAACACATAGCACTATTCAAGGCAGTTAAAAGTACCTAACTTTAAGATGTGCCATTATCTACTACAAATGAAGCAGAAAGAGAAGCTGTAATCCTCACTGTCTAAAATACTACTGCAAAACATCCTGCTTTCTTGACCAAAATGGAAAAAAAAAAAACCCACATGCAGTGCTTCTTAAACAAATTGTTTTAATACATTCGAAAATACTCAGCCAAAAATACAGCAGCCTTAAAGTAGGGTTAAAGATTTTCTTACACCCACTGATATTATGGAGAATACTAAAAAGCCCCAAAACCCTTCCCAGCTTTTCTTGCCTTCCTGTAGACTGATCTGATTCTTTAAATTTTATCAGTCTAAGAAGAGACCAAAACCTTTCCCTACAAACCTCTTCCTCTCCACATCCTCGGACCATCACTGCTACAACAACAGTAAAAACACAATTACAGGACACAATCCTGAACTATTTTATGCCTTGACCCAGTGATGAGAAGGGGGGAGAAATGATCTACCAAACACAACTCTCCCTGAGCCACGCGGCTTGAAATTGGGTTACTCAGAACAGGTCCACAACCTGCACATGCTACACTCACAGCCACAGACGTGAGGGAAAACTAATTGCCTTCTAAATTAAACTGATATCTTAAAGAACAACTGTCCTAGAGTCATACAGAAGAGGAAAAAGAGCATTCTTCCACTTACTTTTTGGATTGTCCCGGTTTGCTTGTACAGCTCAGTCACCATCTCTTCTTCTGCAACACAACAGAGAAAAGAAAAATTCTGTTAAAAAGAAGTATTTGCTTGGACTGAAGTTTCTCATTATACTGTTAATTAATGCTTGAAGCTTACTGCTTGCCTTTAGTCAGCACTGGAAAATATTTCTATCCTTCATTTCTGTTTCTCCGATTTGACTGCCAGAGTATTTCTGTTAAATGAAGCTGCTCTATCAAGACGAAACACGGAGATTGCTCTGTGATTTGAGCATTACACTGAAGAACTAGAAATGAATTCCAAATCCTGTTGCAAAATTTACCAAAGAAATTCCTTTCAGCCATAGAGAAAGTGAGGAAAAGTAAAGAAGGATTTAATTGCTTAATTAAGACAGGTACGTAGTGTCCTGCTAAGGCTCTGACTCCAACACCTACTGCAGAAAGGTGAAGACCCAAGACCAAGGGAAAGTCCTATCTGTGTTACAGGCACACTAAGACACTTCAATGGGTGCTGAATATATGAAAGGGTTGGCCATTATGTCCTGCTCTGTGCTCTGGATTCAAATCTGTAAAAATGGAGAAAATATATCCCTACCTTACTGGGAATTCATTAGTATTTTTACAGCATTTTGGAAGATTAAAAGAAAAGAAGCAACCAACCAAAAAAAAAAAATCTACCAAGTAGAGTTATGAGAATATTGTCCTTAAAAAGAATGCTCTCATGCTACATTCCCTATTTAGCCACATAATTAGTAAACCTTTAGCAGCAGCAACAAAGAATTCCTCATTCCCTTACTATGCCAAGTAGTGACCTGGAAGAACTACTCAGTCCTCCATAAAGAACTGGTGTGCTCCAGATAATGGAAGAACTAAATAAGGGGGGGCTGTACTGGAAAATAAAGCAGAGACCATCTCATCACTCCGGGTTAGCACTGTTCTTGTGCTTCCGAAAACAAGAAAAAGGAAAAGAAAGAGAGATGGAAAGAAGAGGACACCAGTCAGAAAAGAATCCCGACTCCGGCTCTGGTTTGCAGCCAGGAGGGAATAACAAAGCAACAAGTAAATGCCAACATGGATTTGTCATCCTGCTTAACCTCCCTTCCCAACGAGGCAGAGAAATGTGGGATACAGAGAAGGTGCAGTAACCAGAGTTACCTCTGTGTGTGTGTGTTTTCACGCCATGTCATCCTGTTTTTTCCTAAACTGATAAAGGATAGTCTTCATAAACACACTGTAGAATCGGATGGAAAAATCCCATCCAAAGAATAAAACTATTAATGGCTCACACCGGCAACCACACATTACTCTTGGCATGTGGCATCCAACCTTTAGCATCAGAAAAACTCCAATGAGTTCAGAAAGGAACCAAGTATCTCCTTAGTTCATCAGACAACTACGCATGACAAGAAATGTCTTCTGACTCTTCATCAACTTAAGTGCTAAAAATCTCAATATGAAATAAGTACAGATATCATTAGTGGGCATGAAATCATTTAACGCCTTTAAAAGGGCCACCATTAAACTTCAAGCTATTTAATTTAGCAAAAAACAACTGAAAAACACAATAGAGCTTTACAAAGCATGTTTTTCACTAACGACCTGGCCACTATTTTTGTTATGCTTGCCTGTAAAATGCACAGCCAAGAAAAAAAAAAAAAAAAAAAAACAATTTTTTTTTTCAAAATGTTGTTGCAAAACCAAAAAAAAAAAAAAAAAAAAAAAGACATTTCTTTTCTCAAAATGTTGTTAGGAAGGAAAAAAACAATCCAGAACAAAATAAACTCACAGCACAATCAAATATACAAAGGAAAACCACACAAGTGCAGATTTCATCATACTCCTCCAGATTTTAAATAGATCAACATATTTTGGAGATGGGTGGGATATTATGCTGGCTATGCCCCTTTAAAATTGGCAACTCCATTTAATTCAGTGGCTTCTTATTCCAAATTCCAAACTCCAGTTGAAAATAGATCTTACAATGGAGTCCTACAGCTGAATATACTCTAGGGGAAAATTATTTCCTTTAATTATTCCAAATTCATTTCCATGACAGTATTTCATTAGTATCTACAAAAAAATAAATGTGTTATACCAACAGAGGAAAAATTCTGGGCAAAGAGTTAAAGAAACTCACATCCCACCAGTAAGGTGATCTTGAAATATAAAGCACAAACCTGTTGTTTTGTTTCTTTTAAAAGAAATAAACAAACCACAGATAACTGTTTGTAGTCCAGAGAGGGTAATTTGTTTAGATACCACGTGATGTTAACAAGAAACATCAGAAAAATGATGTGTTGCATATTGGATTCTCTTATAAATAGCTAAAGAGCCACACGAACAACCTAGCGTAGGCTAAAAATAACTGATTTAACACAACTCTCGGCAAACAACTCAAGTGTAAAGAGAGGTCTTCCTACCTTGATGATTAATAACAAATAAAGGAAGAGGAAAGGAAACACATACTCACTTTATAACTCTGTCATCAACCTTGTTGTCCTGGAAACAATTCTTCTGCGAGAGAAGTACTTAACTACTAAAGCATTTTCTGCTACTATGTTTTTTTTTCCTTTTTTCCCCCCTTTTCCCCCCTTTCTCTGCAGTGCTCTCACTGTCTGATAAACAGCCAGTAACAAATCTCTCATAGAAAACTGCATAGAAATTGGATCTCAGAAGAAAATACATCGTTCCATATGAGTATGTAGCACTTACGGGAACATCAGGTTTGCGTGAAGCCTTTGGAAAGGATTGTAATTTTTTTGTTGTTGTTAAAATGACCTACTAACTGAACCTCTTCCTTTAGGAATATAGTGTGCTGGTAAAAAGTAACTGCTGATTTGATACCAGCACGTTTTTACACGGGAGCGGGGTGTGAAATCTCAGACTATGGTCCATAGACACAAAAACACACCACATGCTCTGCCAGAAAGGCTGAGCCCTCTCTCGTAGGTGGCGAACAGCCCCAAACACATAGATAGCATCATAGAGTGGTTGTAGTTGGATGGGACCTTCAAGATCATCCAGTTCCAACCCCCCTGCCATGGGCAGGGACACCTCCCACCAGACCAGGTTGCTCTAAGCCCCATCCAGCCTGGCCTTGAACCCCTCCAGGGATGGGGCAGCCACAGCTTCTCTGGGCAACCTGGGCCAGTGTCTCACCACCCTCACAGCAAAGAAGTTCTTTTCGGTATCTAGTCTAAATCTCCTCTCTTTCAGTTTAAAACTTCTTCCCCTTGTCCTATGGCTCCACTCCCTGATCAAGAGTCCCTCCCCATCTCTCCTATAAGCCCCCTTTAAGGACTGGAAGGGGCTCTAAGGTCTCCCTGGAGCCTTCTCTTCTCCAGCCTGAGCAACCCCTCATCTCTCAGCCTGTCCTCACAGCAGAGGGGCTCCAGCCCTTGGAGCATCTTCATGGCCTCCTCTGGACCCATTCCAACAGGTCCATGTCCTTCTCGTGCTGAGGACTCCAGAGCTGGACACAGTACTCCAGGTGGGGTCCCCCAAGCACAGAGTAGAGGGGCAGAAACATCTCCCCTGACCTGCTGGCCATGCTTCTCTTGATGCAGCCCAGGATGGGGTTGGCTCTCTGGGCTGCCAGTGCGCACTGCCAGCTCATGTTGAGCTCCTCATCCACCAACACCCCTTAGTCCTTCTCCTCAGGGCTGCTCTCCAGCCATTCTCCACCCAACCTCTATTTGTGCCTGGAATCGCCACGTCCCAAGTGCAGGACCTTGCACTTGGCTTGGTTGAACTTCACGAGGTTTGCACAAGCCCACCTCTCCAGACTGTCCAGGTCCCTCTGGATAGCATCCCAGTTCTTGGCAATGGGTGCTGGAGTAACCCAACTGGGATCAGAAATGTCAGCAACTCTTGACTTTAGAGCAACAGCCACCTAATGCACAGCCGGGGTTCGGGATTCTCCGCTGGTCTCCAGACCAGCCACAGCAGCACAACCAGTACCCCAACGGTTCACCAACCTCTCCCAGCCCCACAACAGGGTTTAACCAGTTCAAGAGAACCAGAACCAGTTTAACAAGATGAATTACAAAGTCCCAGTACCAGGAGTCAGCCACGGTCTTTCCTTCTGAGTTTAGAACCGTTCTTTTTGAAACTGTTCTCTCCGTGCTTCTACTAGAACAGAAAAACTTGATTTTAACTTTTAAATGAAATAAAAGCTGGTTTTAGAAATCAGACTGGTCTAGGAAACAGTAGGTTTGTTTCAGATTGGGACCTTTCACTCCACATTTGCCTGTACATTGATCTTTTTGCCACACAGCCCATTTCTGTCAGATGCAGCAATTTGGCCTGACCTAAATTGGTTTAATTCACTGCAATAAATATACTTGCATAAATACTTGTAAATTTTTACTTTTTAAACTATCAATGCTTTGAGTAAATTTTGCCTCTGACCCTCTCAGTTAGCCTGCACGTGGATACTGTTTTCAAGTAAAATGTCAGAGCCCGCAGTGTTCTCTGATGGGAAAAAAAATCACCATATATTCCATTTTCAAATGAGACCTGTTAATTATCAAAATTATTCCCCCCAAGTGAATCCAAAGAGCCTTCTGTTCCTTCAAAAGACCCAGGACTAAATACAATTATGCTGAGCGGTATCCAGTACAATATCTCTTATTTCTTGTCACTCTTTGGCAAGAAGGAGACCTGCATTTTCCCTTGACTTGCTCCAACTTCCAATCTATTAACTAGCATTAATTGGTAAAATGAAAAAACCTTGTAATCCATCTTTTCGTATCTTAAGATTTCATATAAACCCTACCCGATATGTTTTTATATTGATTTTGAATTGTGTTCTACTTTTCAAATGACTTATTTAACACACGAACACGAGGCACAGCTTCTTTCTTCCTTTTCTCTTGTGCTTTTATTCAAGATGCTTTAACTCTGAGGTCTCTACATGTTCTCAAGAGATCATACGCTTAATGGGTAAAATGATCTGCAATCCTCACTAATTAGGATCTGGAGTTGCTACCAATAAACTCCCGTCCCTAACAGATCTAAAAAATCTCCACCTCACACAGTCT